ATAACACATTTCTAGACCATTATTAGCACAGCCATCTTTGTGTCTTCAGACAGTGATTTTTCGTCAGTTCTTGCTAATTTGTATGCAGCCTAGAAATGCAGCATATCACTGTTCTTTATTCACAGCTTTCTTCACTGTAGCAGTAGCGACTGTCAAACAGCACAGTTCCTGGGGATAAGCAGGCTGATGCTATACTTTATGGGGCAGATATAGCCTAAAAAGCCAGACTTCTGACTGTCTTTAGAGAGTCTGGTGTGTTTTGTTGCTCAACATGGTCAAGAACTTTGACAGAAAAGTACATGTTAAGTGACATTCAACATGACCGGCTACAGACTGCTTTAGGGCAATACAACAAAATAGGGCTACAACAAAAACAAACCCAAGTGCAACAAATCAGTATGTGTCGGCATAGCGCAAAGATATCTCTTTGGCTACGTTTACACAGCAGGTAAAAGTGACCCAAATTTCATTTTCTCACCAAATCAGAATCTCTTTTAAATGTGATCTGTATGCAACATTAGTCTGAACAGATCAGCTCCTAAACTGACCTGTCTGCGCAAAAGAACAGAGCTTCACGATGCTTCACGTGGCTCATCCAGAGGTAAACAATCATGACTGCCAGCGAACGCCAGTCGCTCCCAGAGCTTTTAGTTTCATCTTCGCCAGCAACATAGAAGTGATCCTGAAGCTTCATTGACTGACAGCTGGGCTGATCACCCACAGTGTGTTCGAGGTTGCCGTAAAAAGGGCGTGCTCACTTCTTTGGTTGGCGTCCTCAGATTCATTAAACTTTGCTTTCAGACTGTTAACTGTTCTTTGGTGCTGCAGCCTTGTTCACCTACAGCCGCGTCTCAGCAGCACGAAATTATGCCGAATGTCGAGTTGGATTAACATAAAAGTTGCTGCATTGCCACATATGGGATACGTATCGGATTTTAGTATCACATATGAAAGCGTCTCAAATTGGAATTGAAAATGTCAGATTCAGTGTGTTTTGCTGTTCACACTGACACACAGACACACATCTGTGTCACATATGAAGAAAAAGATCGAATTTGGACCACTTTTACCTGCTGTGTAAACAAAGCCTTAAAAGCAACTAAATACTTCAAGAAAGTGCTTGGATAACTTTTAATCCTATTAACTTCACACTCTGTGTTCAATTTGTTAACTGTAAGTCTTCCTGTCGGACTGACAAAACAAAACAAAAAAAAGTCTGCATGGACATGTGGGTCGCCAATCAGAACGTAGCTGACAAAGTCCCAATAACTGGGAGCCAGCTTAGGCCAACTTACCTTACTATAGATATCAGGTACTCCATTTACATATAAGTGAGGAATCTGAGGCTCATTATGATTGATTTGTTGCTGGAGTGATAACAAATTAGAGCTAAAATCTGAATGGCTGCATTTTCCCACTTCAATACTCCTGCTGAACTCTAGACTGCATACTGGCACACTAAATAGAACGCAAAAAATAGTGCAGTGCCATTAGAAGTGCACTAGCATTAGTGTAGGTAAAATATAGAAGTGTGCGGTTTGGGACACAGCATTAGATCAGCTAATGAGACTCAAGTGAGACTCATCAGCTCCAGTGGCTGAATATTGGTTTGCTATGCAGCTTGTTAGCTGCTCATTAAAAAATGCAAGCAAAAGCTTATAGAGCATTCAAATAAAATGGAAAATAAATTTAAAATTCTTATTCAAATTTCCATTCTATGTAAAAGGCACTTAATTGTAAATTCTGCATTATGTAGGCTGGAACAGAAACTTTGAATAAGAAGGTGGTGAATAAGAGGCCAACTTCAGCTTCTTATATATATGAACATGTTATTATATTAGAATTTTGGCAGCTTTGGTAACAATTTTTCTTAGTTTTTGTAAAATCTCACACATTGGAATTTTCAGAACCTAAAGGTGCATTATGTATAATTTAAAGAAGTAGCATTACTGAGTCAGGCGAAAATAAAACAGGCCAAAATATGGTGTGTGCTGACATATATTTCACGTGTGAAATAATCTCATAAAAGTCAGAGACATTGAGTCAGACTTTGCTGGAGTTTTTTATACTATGTTATACGTCTTTATGTATTAATGTCACAACCACAGCCTCAAAAAGAAGGCCTGGCTTGATATTTGGGTCTCAAATGCAAAATGAACATTATACTGATGAAGATTTGACGACAATAGTAGATAAATCCTCAGAAGACACGTCCATCACCAAGACTGGACTAAGTTCTCTTGGAATTCTCTTTCAACACACTCACAATCATCAGATTCATCCGCTCGGGGAAGGGGTCCAAAACACAGCCCACATTACGAAATGTTCCTCTGCATTTTACCTTCCGTTACACATTTCCGCCAGAGATGTCTCCAAAGTCCCAAAACTTACATAGTACAGCTTTAAGAGGTATTCATCTTATATCTAGTCCACCAATCAAGCTAATCTTCTCCTTGTAGTGTTTTCTGGAGACTATTTCTAAAGTGTCCCCATATATTTTCATCTTTGGTCATTCTGGCTACTTTTGCTTGGCCTTCAGTTGTAGCTGCAAGTCGCTACCAATGCCCTACCCAAAGGGCATTGGGGCATTAGTAATGTTGTAATCGAATACTATGATTAGTATTATCATAACGTACTTGCAAGACACACTGCATATGTGCACTGACCAGTATCTCGGTGTCAAGTGTGTCTCTAGAGCATGTTTCTGAGAAAGAGTGTTTCCAGCCTGGAAAGAAAAAAAAAACATTCGGGTCTAATCCCGCGGATTAAAGGATTTCACAGGCACATGTGGATGGTAAGTAATGGTGCACAGATTACATTCAGATAAGACTGTGAGCGTGAGAGAGAGTGTGTGTGTGTGAGTGTGTGTGTGTGTGTGTGTGTGTGTGAGTGTGTGTGTGTGTGTGTGAGTGTGAGTGTGTGTGCGAATGGGAAATGGGGGTGTAATTTAAAAGAGAATGAGGGAAACCAAACCCTTCAGGCAACCATAAGAAATGCATGACCTTCACTGTAAAGAAATCATTATCTCATAAAAACATAATAAGAAACTAGCAGTGATTGATTGATCATGGAAAACTTATTTATGAATCTTATCATTTTTTACAGTACAGGGCCTAAAAAAGGCTGGATGTGGTACTCTGAGAATGTATAAGGCGTTCGGGGGGAGGGGGAAGGGGTGGCCTTATCTGCCTGTCTTGTCGATAGTTCATCTGAGGGCAAGCACATCTCATTTCATGCAGATTTAGAAAGCAATCGCATCACATTTCAAATCTGTTCAACAATCTCCCCTCATAGATGTCGCAGACATGTACTGATGAGTTTGTCTTTCTTCCCACGGGGAGACCACATCGATCTGAGGACAGTCTTACCGAGCGGCCTTGTTCTGCTGCAGGATAAAGCCTTTACATTACACTGTGAGTTCTCAACATTAATGGATGCAAATTCTAACCCAACTGCGTCCTCAGGCATGATGCAAACATGCTGGATATTTTACAGCAATATTCTGCACATCGACATAATGAAAGCTGTTTATTAAAATAAACGGTTCATTTTTTATTTGGAGGGTTGGCCCTCACTAGCAGCACAGCGGGAAACACACTCTTTCCGGCCATATGCCTGCATATCGCTGCTGTCGGAACAAAGCCTCGTATCTCCATTTTTGTCGTTTTTCAGTTTTTGACATGATTTGAAAGCATCTGTTACTCTTTACATTGTGTGTAAATTTCATGATGAATGGACTAAAAGAAACAGCCCAAAATGACTTGGAAAAAATTCTGGTTCCATTGACTTACATTAAAAGTAAAGTATGTTTTTTCCTTCTCCTGTAAAGTTACCATTTTGGAGTTATGAGGTTTTGTTCTGACAGCAGTGATATATTACTTCAATGATGTCTGTAAAAAAGACCAGACTCGTTCCAGTGGTTGGATGACAGGCCAGGTACTGAGGGTTTTGACTGAACTGGGAAAATCTGCCTTTAGTTCCAGAGCACCAGTGACCTGAAACTTACTACAGGAAACACTACAGCTCAGCTCGCTGGGTCACTCAGTCATTTTACCACCTCCACCCTGCCTGAAAGTGTTTTACTTGATTTTTACATTTATTGTCTGATTTTCATTATTTTAGTTTTTTTTTCAATTTATTTGTTTATTTATAATTATTCATATTCTTAGTCTTGTTTTAATTATGATTATTATCATTTCAGGCATTTTTATTAATTTTAGTTTCCTTTTTTGATCTTATTCTCTTTTTGTTTATTTATCTTCTTTTGATTTCAATCACTTTTACATTTTATTTACGCTTTAATGATTTAATGATTTTACTATTAATGTTTCATCTCTATCTGATTTGAGTCGTTTTTTATTATTATTATTTTTTTTTCTATATGTTTTGACACAACATATCAAACTCGATCTCTTTTTCCTGTATCAGCTCAGCAACACTGTAAATGAGGGTCACCCTCTATGTTCTCCGAGGTTAAATAAAGGTTGATTGATTTTTTTCTAAAACTAATTGACTTGTCAGGTGAAACAATCTTTCGTAGGCTGTTGTTTAACCAAGCATTAAACCTGGAACAGATTAAGGTCTTCTGCTCTAACTTGGAGCTCTTTGTAATCACATTAAATATCATAAGTGCTTCAGGTAACACTGCACTGACCCAGTACACCAATCCCAGATGGTTTTTATGAAATACTATTAAGCGTTCTGTCGAACTCCACTCGGCTGCCAGTAAAAGCTCTGTATAAGCGGAAGGTTTCTTGCCAGCAGGGTCGTATGAGTTTGATCCAACAACCCAACAAGCAAACAGCATCGCTTCAGCATCTCTGGAGCTCTGCTTTCACAAAACAAAGTACCAAACGCAGTGCAGAACTCTCTCCCACTCTGTGCTGAACTTTCTTGGCTCAGCGAGCTATCCCACAGTCACCGTGGCTCTCAGAGGTGTTAAGTTGCCGTGGTAACAGCAGCGGGCCAATAAGCGTGAAGTGCGAGCGAGGATGACTCACCGTGGCCAGCTCGTCGAACTTTCCGAAGAGTTCGTTCAGCAGCTTCACCAACTCCTGCGCCGTGCACTGCGACGCCAGGCTGGTGAAACCCACGATGTCCGCAAACAGAATGCTGGAGGAGAGAGAGGGAGAGAGAGAGAGAGAGAGAGAGAGATAGATAGAGAGAGAGAGAGAGATTTTAAGAGTCTAGAGCAGCAGTCTGCACTTAGGTACAGTGTCAATGATGTGAAGCAGCAAAGTACGTGAGTGAATGAGTGAGAAAGTCAATGAGTGAGCAAATGAGTGAGAGTGAATAAGTGACCGAGTGAGTGAATGAGTGAGTGAGAGTGAGTGAGTGAATGAGTGAGAGTGAATGAGTGAGTTAGTAAGTGAATGAGTGAGTGAGAGTGAGTGAGTGAATGAGTGAGAGTGAATGAGTGAGTTTGTAAGTGAATGACTGAGTGAGAGTGAGTGAGTGAATGAGTGAGTGAATGAGTTAGTTAGTAAGTGAATGAGTGAGTTAGTAAGTGAATGAAGAAGTCAGTTAGTATGTGAATGAGTGAATGAGTGAGTAAGTGAATGAATGAGTGACAGAGTGAGTGAGAGAATGAGTATGTGAATAAGTGAGTGAGTGAGTGAGTGAGTGAGTGAGTGAGTTAGTGATTGAGGAAGTGAATGAGTGTGTGAGGGAGTGAGTGAATAAGAGAGTGAGAATTAGAAAATGAGTTTGTGAATGAATGACTTAGTGAGTGAGTGAATTAGTGAGTGAACGAATGAGTGAGCAAGTGAGTGAGTGAGTGAGAGTGAGTAAGTGAATGAGTGGGAGTGAATGAGTGAGTTAGTAGGTGAATGAGTTAGCGAGCGAGTGAGGAAATGAATGAGTGTGTGAGGGAGTGAGTGAGTGAATAAATGAGTGAGTGAGTGAGTGAGTTAGTGAGTGAGGAAGTGAATGATTGAGTGAGTGAATGAGTGAGTGATGTGTAAATTTAGAGGTTAGGGTTTGAGACAGACACCTTTTAATAGAAAAAACTGCATATATGTAATTTATTACTATCTCAAATAATTATTTAGCTTTAAATAGATCATAAAATAACCCTTGTAAATATGTAAGATCTGAATACTTAATAGTTTCTTTTTTTCACTATCCCCTCCACCCATTGTTGGTGTGATGCACTTCCAAGTGGTGTGGGCATGTTAAAAACAATGAAATGATCCCAGGGGAACCATGAGGTGGAAAACTCCAACAAGTTTTTAAAAATAGCAAAAACAACAACAACAACATTCAAAATACAATGTCAGATAGAACTAATACACTGTCGGCTTTTAAAATACAATTTATCAATGTATAATGCGGGTCACTGGTGTAGTATATTAAATCTTTATCTTTCATCTCATAGGATGCACAAAACCCTCATCAAATCATCTGTTCATCACATTTCCTGATAAGTATGATGATGATACAACTCCTCTGCCATTGTATTGCGCCTGATGGATCCTTTAGAAAGCTGAAACGGAAAATGTGCCTTTCCCTATTTTTAAAATCATCATTATCCATGACATCATGATACCACTGGAGAAGCAATCAGTGAAATCCATACCGTCCTAATCTTTAGCTTTCGAGTTAGGACTGGCTAGTTATGGGCCAAAGATAGGACGACTTTCAGACAATAGTCCTTATTGCAGCGCTTACGGCGCCAGAAGCTAACAGAAACAGATTAACTTTGCAGGGGAAAAGCCAGATTGCTCAATGAAGAATAATGCTGATGTGAGGACGCATACCAGGCCTGAGAACCAGACATCGTATCAAGAAAGTGAAGGCAAACTGACATGTAGCTAAACTAAATAATGGTGGAACACAGTAGCATTAGTACTGGGAGGCGGATGCGCAATTACACTGGGGCTCATGACAAATGGGGACATTATTGGGACCCGATTTTGATACTGCACACCAGCAACTCACAGAAAGATTCCAATTTCTTACAAAACTGACATCAATTTGTCTCCATTTTATTTAGCTGGACTGAAAAAGCCAACTTACTTATTATTATTATACGGTCAAAAAATTGCAGTATTACTCTTCCTACAGCTTTCAAGCTAGGGTTGTAGAGTCTATACCCAAATAGGTCACTTGTGCTTTTTTTAAACCGACTTGACTTGTGGTGTTTATAGAGCCTTTGTTCTAACATTTTTCGCTGCTGTTGGATCAAAAGCTCGTATCTCCAAAATGATAACTTTACAGGAAAAGGAAAAAACATACTTTACTTTTAATGGAAGTCAATGGAACCAGACTTTTTTCCAGGTAATTTCGGGCCATTTCTGTTGGTCTGTTCATCAAGAAATTTAAACACAATGTAAAAGGGAACAGACATTTTCAAATGATGTCAAAAACTGAAAATCGACAAAAATGGAGATACACGGTTTTGTTCTGACAACAGCGATATTTTCATTTCCCCTAGGAATGAAAGAGGAAAGACTTAACATCCTAAAAGTCATTCCACTTATATAAAATATGACGCTTATATCTCTTATTTCACTGTAGTCAGAATTAACTTTGTAGATAAATGTTTTTGGTCACTCCTCTTATGTCACCATCATACAAGTATACTAGCAACACCTTAGCAACCCGCTGGGATAGCATATGAATGGCCTTGCAACATCTTAGCCACCCCCGGGGATAGCATAGCAATGGCCTAGAAACATCTTAGCAACCCCCCTGGGATAGCATAGCGATGACGTAGCAACACCTTTGCAACCACCTGGAATAACATAGCAACCACCTGGGATAACATAGCAATGGCCAAGCAACACCTTAGCAACCACCTGGGATAACATAGCAATGGCCAAGCAACGCTTTAGCAACCACCTGGGATAACATAGCAACCACCTGGGATAACATAGCAATAGCGAAGCAACACCTTAGCAACCACCTGGGTATAACACAGCAATGGCCAAGCAATACCTTATCCACCCCCTGGGATAAGTCTTAAATTTGAAGTCTAAAGCAAACATTTAAGTTAAAGTGAGCTGCTATAGCTTTAATCAGGCCTGACATTTTGGTCCAAATCAAAATACAGATTTTACTATCCGAGTCTGACCTGACCTGAACCACATCGTCAAGTTTTGAGTCTGAAACTGACCCGAGCCCAACAAAATTATGTCCAAAACTGATCCAAATCATCCCACCATCACCCAAAGTGCTGAATCAAACTTTAAAAAATATAGTGCTGGTTAATTACTGCATAGAGACAATAACAGCCGCCATTAGATCAGATCAGATTAGAAACAACAAAATATATTTATAAAACAGTTTTTCCAAAATTATGTTTAAATTCCACCTTGATGAATCAAGCAATGTTTTACATTTACAGCATTTGGCAGACGCTCTTATCCAGAGCAACTAACAAAAAGTACTTTGTCTACCTAGAGAAAGTATCGTTGCTAGTTACATATAGGTTAGAGAGAAAGCCAGTCCTGAGCTCAGAAACTGCTAGAAACAAAAGTCCATGTTGATACTTAGAGAAAAAGGAACAGAGTTAAACACAGCGCAGTGCAATACATTTCAATAAGTAAGTGTAGTACAATACAATACAATAAATACTTAACTCAGTGCTCACTTAAGTGCTTTTGAACAACATCCCAAGCGTTTTTCAGTCTTGATAAACTTTCTATATTTATTTTTCGCACATCTATTTGCTCACAGGTGTGGACCTCGTGGACCTCAGTGCTAAACTCTGTCAACAACCTGAGTGGGTATTTGGTAAATAAGTTCAGGTCTGACGTGCACAGTTGGATCTCATTGAGTTTGGGCAAATATTTGAAGCTCTAGCAGCGCTTTAACCTTTAAATCATTATTAGCTGGCTTTGTCAAGCTAACTTAAAGCCCTTTCACAAGCTTGGTAACAGTTTTCAGACAAATTCTACACAGAATCCAACAAGATACATTTTATTTATAAGTTTAAATTCTCAAATTTGAAGTCTAAAGTAAACATTTAAGTTAAAGTGAGACGCTAGGTGTGGACCTCATGGACCTCAGTGCTAAACTCTGTCAACAACCTGAGTGGGTATTTGGTAAGTAAGTTCAAATCTGACGTGAACAGTTGGATCTCATTGAGTTTAGGCAAATATTTGAAGCTCTAACGCTGGTGTGTGGAGCGGCATGCCTCGAAAGCATCAACTTGTTTGAGACAAAATGATAGTGAGTAAAAAAGCAGTCATCTTTTTATTCATTGAGAGTCATTTTCTTATGGAGGGGCCTGTAATATTTCCACACTGGGTCCCATAAGACCCCAGTTACATCACTGGTGGAAGTTATGTTCCTCACAGGCCTTCAGATCAAGGAACTGTGATGGACTGGTGTCAGCGAATAAGGAAGGTTTTTCAGGGTCATATAGCAAGACTGGGTTAAATTCTATAATAAAAACAAAACATTTCGTGACTCATCCTCGCTCCTACCAAACGTACACAGAATTAACTGTGTCCTCAGGCATTACATCCAGCATGCTGCCTGATAAACAGCACGTTCTCTCTCTTTATGAGTGTGGTAACTCAGATCAGTTCACAGTGAGGGCAGCTACAGTGCCACACACACACACACACACACACACACACACACACACACTGCCAGAACACAGCATATTACAGTGCCTATCCAAATGAAATTACATCACCGGCTCACGCACACACACAAACGAACACAAAGTAGATTAGCGCGCTGTCTGGTCTTTGAGAGAATAAAGTGTGGCGGTACCTGTGCCAGGTAGAGCACCTACAGACGATCATAAAACACTGAATGTTACAGTGCCACCACAGCTACAATATACTGTATTATATAGAATATACACTATAAACACAAGATAATATTTAGAAAATGTAGATTTAATATTTTACACCATCGTTAAAACCTTATTGCTGTTGTCGGAACAAAGCCTTTTATCTCCAAAATGGTAACTTTACAGGAGAAGGAAAAAACCTACTTTACTTTTAATGTAAGTCAATGGAAACAGACTCTGTTCTAAGTCATTCTGGGTCATTTCTTTTAGTCCATTCTTCATGAAATTTACACACAATGTAAAGGACAACAGGCATTTTTAAATTACGTCAGAAACTGAAAAACGACAAAAATGGAGATGCGAG